ATATGGAGAATTTAATGTAGTAAGACAAAAATAATCTTTCAATTGAAAAATAAACTGACATATTTGGCAATTTATATGCAAAACACCAAACAATCTATGGAACTTTAACCATCTAATTTGGTCAGAACAGATATAAGCTTTTTAATTGATAATTTTTTTAGCAAATTGCTGGAAAAGGAAATATCTATACTTTAAAAGTCTACTTCACAAACATTCAAGGTAATTATGTTCTATGACCGGTGAGTCTCCTTGGTGTCAAAATTCAATTAACATAAATTTAGCTCTTTGAGAGAAGGATTCAATGTACTAACATAAGAAACCTAGCTCTTTGTTACCATAACGAAATATTTTGTTATTATGCCGTGGAGGGTAATCACTACTGATGACTAAGTGATTTACATTTTAAAACATGCGTAGGTGGACTTACTTTATTTATTTCCACAAGTTGACTGTCAAAAACTGTTCAAGGAATCTAAAGGACAAATGCCATAATAATTCTCACAAGTGAAATTCTGCATGTATATAAAACTCCTGACCTATAAATTCATATTGTATCATAAAGTAATAAATAACCTTACTTAATATTATATAGCAAAAACAACAGAAGCCTGGTGAATAGAAAAGGTGCTACTGCCAAAAAGACTACTGGATGGTATTGATGGGTGGCCACAAGAAACATGTACCAAATAAACGGAGTATGGTACTGCATTCAGTATCTACCAGTGCAGAAGAACTCATTCTGTTTCCTCCATATGAGCTTCTATGACACCTTGAGTAACAAGCTGCAAATAAAATGATTGTATAATCCAACAATGAAGTGGAGAGTGTCCACATAATATGTCAGCATCCAATTTGTTCATTGTTGTGTAACCCAGTTACAGAATATTTATGTTTTGAGTATATTTGTTTTATGCCTTGTAGGACCATTCAGAAGACTATTTTATCCTTTATAGACTGCAATGTGTTACTCTAGCTTGGATTTAAAATGAACTGAAAAGTACACTTTTCAATGAGGAATATGATTTTCTTTTTTATTATTAGTTTCCATTTAATTTAATAAAGTATTTACTTTAAGGGGCAACAGAGATTGTAAAAGTTACCAAAATATTCACTGCAGGTGAATCCTCCTTGTATATGGATTTTAAAGTACAGGGATTGATTAACAAGTCACATGTAAATGTTTGGTAAACAGTACATACCATTAGTAGCAAAGACAGACTTTTAAGTTACCCAATGCAGTTCATATAGTAAAAGCAGTTCACTTTTATTAACATAAGAATTAATAAGTTATAAAAAGGCAATAATATCTACAAAAGCATATTGCCTCCTTGTTCAACCAAGTCCCCACCTATGCCTATATATACACAGATAAATATCTGAATATTACATGTCTTTCATTTCATACATTCCCATATCAGCTTCTAATGATACAATAGATTAGGTGAGAGGGTGAAGACTTGACTGAACACATTTCCTGAAATAAAATTCAGGGAATATTGAACAAGGCCAGCTCTATAACAAAAACAGAGAGAAAGTATATGCCATACAGTAAACCAATGGTTTTTTATGAATTAGCCTTAACCAAACAAGTGCACCTATTTACATACATTGCATGTGCAGTTTAAATTCTTAAATTGGAGCATCATCATTAAACAGAATTCCCTGAGCGAGCCTAGAGGCATAAAAATAAAGGAGAAAGCGGAGACCCTATCAAGCAGGAGCAGGTTTACACCAATGGATCAGTATCTAGAAACAGATATAGGTGGAAAAAAACAACCATTGTATCCAACTCTAAACATGGCTGTCCTGATCTGTATACTTTACCAGAGAAAAAATTGAGGGCTTGAACAACAAGTTAGATTTCTTCAAAAATCACATCAGTTGATCCAGGATAGAATTAGAGTGGAGAAGGAAAAACTAGCACAAAATTTGTGTAGACCAGGGGCGGACTGACCATTTGGAAACTTGGGCACTGCCCGAGGGCCCGGGGTCAGTAGGGGGCCCCCTGAGATGCCCCTGGTACCTTTTTCATAGGCTTTTTTGAGTTTGGGCAAGGACACAGGGGCCCCATGATCCCCTATTGCCCGGGGGCCCCATGAGTTGTCAGTCCGCCCCTGGTGTAGACCACAATTAACCATCCCCCAACCCAGAACATCCTTATGATTAATATACAAGACTCAACTTCAGGGCTCACATTAACCATTTCAGTTCAGAGCTACAGCTAATATAAAATCCCACCACATTGTAACAACTAAAAGGGATCACGACTGGTCCTGGATGTCATCAATGGCAGGCTTGAGGGTCATGTGTGGTCTTACGTACATCCTTACAGTTTTGTAAGGCACCCCTTTACATTAGATGGTTTAATGTGTTTTATTCTGGGAAAAGCAATGAGCCAAGTATTCATCCGCTTGCCTAATTTGCTGTAGCATTTGATGTTGATATGGGAATGTATGAAAATATAGACCTGTAACATACAGACATTTCTTTGTTCAGATAGGCTTGGGTGGGGGGGCAAGGAAGAACAAGGCAGCAATATACTAGAGTGTTATTGTAGATTTTATGCTTTTTAACACATTTAATTAATTGTGATGTTAATAAAAGAATTGATTTTACTATATGAACTCTGTTGGGTACCTTTAAAATTCCATCTTCTCGAGATCTAACTGGGATGTGGTATCTTGTATTGAATCAGCCCATTACTTAGTATTACAAACATTTGGTAAAGGTCACATTCAATGCTCTATAAACACGGCCCTTAAAGAAGAACTAAACTCCACTGATTTAACAGTTTCCAAAAATGGTTACATTCAAGGCATGTCTTGAATGACAACTGTTACAGTTACTAGACTCGCAACGCTCATCACTCATGTGCATGGCATCTATGGATTAAAAGAAAGCTAAGAGGGCAGCTTGCTTGGCTGTAAAGGCTAGGAAAATGTAGCTCCACTTTAAGTGATTTATTGGGAGTACCCACTTCAAAGAACATTAGTAGTTCAGTCATCACAAAAATCCCCATTTTCTAATGTTTCACCTTTATTGTATTTCTATGTGGGTAAAGGAAATGGAGTATTAAACATAATTTTTCTTTTTCACAATGCCACTTAATATTTTTTACTAAAGTAATTGTTATATAGTGTACTCTAGTATAGTAATGCTTTCATGTAACTAGAAAAGCTACAATTTCTGGGGAAATTGTGTGAAGTGTTCTGGCCTCCACCAGTAGTCTACAACTGGAGTGGGCGGAGTAACTGGGTGGAGTGGCTTGTCACTCTGCTGCGTGCTCACACACCTGGGTTCCTATGGCAACTCACTCTACAGCAAGGGCAGAGAAGAGCGGTTAAAAACAAACTGCTCCAACTTGCTCACTTCACTGGTGGTTGCCATCTTCAAACGGTTGTAGTTTAAAAATTGTAAATCCTACACTGAAGAGCTTTATATTGTGAGAATCACAAGACCCAGACCTACATTTTGATGCATAGTATGTCTCTGCAATATTAACAATGAAGGCACAGTCGCAGTTTAGAAATTGCCCTTCAAATCCCAGGTGGCTAGAGTGGAACTTCAATGAATGTCAATAGGCCGCATGAGTTGCAAACAAATGGTCATATTGTGAAAACGATCATGACTATGGCTTAGCCGTGGACATTTTTAGTGGCAGCAGGGATAGCTGAACGTTTTGATATAAGATTTGTGTAGGTGGGCTTGAAAATGAGGGAGTGATGGCAGTTTAGAAATCATGTCCTGATTTTTCAGCTCACACTCTAGCTTTTGTCAGCTCACACTCTAGCTTTGAACATTCCACCATTCATTCCTATGGGACCAATTTCACCACAAAAACGCTGATATTTCGTGAACCATTCAGCGAAACGTTCCACAAAGTAATAGCACACCAATCGGGAACAATCGGCACGTTTCGGTATATTACTGTCTATGTAGTGTAAAAACTGTGGGAGGAGTTAGGGTGGTAAATTTGGCTATAATAATAAGAATATAAATGTAAGATAACAGTAAGGGGTCTTGCCATGCAACAACACTTAATTATATGTTCATTATGCTTCTCCTTATCAAGTCAGAACAGCTTTTTTTCACTAATACTAAGTAACAGAAGCAGGAGAAAGTGAAAAAATAGAATAATTTTAGCAGATTTTATTGCAGAATTCACCCTTCTTTTTGTAAATATTGAAAAAACTAAAATTTCTTCCGAGCTATATATATATATATATATATATATATATATATATTTTTTATGAATTCCTAATTTTACAAAATGAGAGGTTTGAAAAATCTATATATAATCTAATAAACATTAAGTCCCCGGTCACACTGACCCAACTTCGAAATCATGCGACTCTCAGTGAAGTCGCACGATTTAAAAGTTGGATGTCATTCTGGCTTGCAAGACACAGATGTCTATGCAAATCGCACCTGAAGTAGTGCATACACTACTTTAGAAATCAATGCGGCTCCAACCAAGTTGGAATCGCACCGGTAAGACCGCTTTAATTGTGGATTTGAAACTCGCATGGCATGGTGTGACTGGGCTCTAAATCAGAGAGACAATGACTTGCTTGACCTGGTTTGAAAATCTTGACAGCTTGTATTTTGCATAGAAAAAAATATTGATAATACAAAAAGAGAAAACTATAGAAATGCAGAAAATGCTCTTTTGAATATCAGATGAAAACCAGGATGTATAGTGTAGTTCCCCCTCTCCATCCTAAATTCATCTGATTCCCAATCCAGGGAGATACAGTATAGCTGAACAGATCACACAGCTGTCTGTCAAAATGTTGCGAGTGAGGCCTGCACATGTGCACTGCATTCCCTATTTATTTCTATGGTGCTTCAGAGCATGCCAAATAATGGTCAGGTTATCCCAGTTTAAAACAATGATTACACTTTCAGTTTTTACTAATGTTTTGTACCAATTCTAGGATCACTACACAAAACTGAGATTACAGAGAACATTTAAAAAAGGAATGAAAATATAGTGTGTGTTTTAATTCTAAATTGAGTTTAACCTCCTTAGCGGTATTCCCGAGTGTAGCTCGGGGTAAAGTTTCAATACCAAGAGCGGTAACCCTGAGCTACACTCGGGCTTACCATGCGGCGCTGCATAGGGAGTCCCTGCAGCACTTACCTTGTCCTTCGCTCCCGCGATGTGTCCCCTGCAGCGTCCCCGGCCATCTCCTCCGGCCGATGCCGGCATCCGGCTTCCGTGTTCCAGTCCCTGTGACGTCGGGACGTACGGGCACCGAAACCGGCGGGAAATTTGAAATTTTTAAAAAATGTCATTTTTGCTGTCATTGCTGTTTCAACGCATTTCACATACATTTTGTCCCTACTGCTTTGTCCTGTGCCCTGCCTGCATTTTGACTGTTCTTTCTGCCTGGAAACTTAGAAAAGTCCATGGCGTCCAAAAAGCGTCCCTTTACGTCAAAAGCGGTTTTAGAACAGCGATAGTAAATCAGAACCACTTGCAGAATTGAGTGATAATGATTCGTGGGGGAAATTCGTCATCAGACACTGAAAACGATTTTGCGACTTTGCTCAGCGATGTGCAAATTTGCCTCTGTATTTCAAATTTCAGTGTTTTTGGTTTGATTATATTATTGAATTAAATTTATTATTATATTATTATTTTTTATGATTATTTATTAAATTATAATTTATGATTTCGTGTTTCAAGTTTTATCATATCCGGAATGTTTACTAGACTCTTGTTGGGACAGATTTCAGTGAGTTATTCCTTAAAATTACAGCCTACAATAAAAAAACTACATATTTCCATGCAAAAAAATGGTACTGCTTTCAGCACAAAAAATCGGAAAGAATCATACCGCCGAGGAGATTAATGAAGAAAAAAAAAAAAAAAACTTTTTTTATTCCTCCTCAAATAGACAACACCATTTCTAGGCAAAAGCACAAAATTTGTGTATATATGCTTAATTCTTCTGTAAATATGTGAAAATATAATGTACATTTTTTATGTATGCTAAGATACGGAGTATAACTCATTATAGTACTCCAAAGCAACAAGGGAAATGGATGGTAAGCATTTCAGTTACAACGTCTGATGAAGTTACGTGATTAATATGACGCAACACGTCGGCAAGTGGCGACGCACTTCCGGTCTGGACGCCATATTGAGACACCCATGCAACTACATCTGACATGAGGTTTGAATGAATTAATGCTGTAAGCAAGATGTATTAAAATGTGAGTGCATATTGCAGAAGTTTGTTACCATATTCTATAATATATTTATATAATAAATGGTATTACACTATGGAAGTGTTTACATATATTTCATGATGGAATGATTGGCCACTTATTGTATACCTGCCTGGAGAGGAGATCTACTGTCATTGAGCCTATACTTGAGGGAGACCATTGCGGGGAGAGCGACAAGATTTTGGAGGAGTTCCATACATGCAGGATCCATTGTAGAGATCCTAAAGGTGTTCTGGCCCTGTGTGGGCCGAGACAAGGAGGTGAGCGGGCATTGCAGCCATTTTTTGGATACCTTTCCTGGCACCTGATATTACCTATTATTCACCATCACAAAGGGTTGTTTATCTTACGGAATCATGGTGTTATTCACCACGCTGGACTTTCCATTTGTATTTTGTGTGTAGTATATGCATTTTAGTGGTATGCGTTTTTTATGTGTTTTGATGCAGGACATGTTTATTTGTATGTGATTATTTGTTGTTTACTATCACGCATGTACTGTTTAGGTGCGTTTTGTTAGTTTTATGTGTCACATTGTTTGTTTTTTATGCGGATTTGGAAATTTATGCCATTAGAGCATTTCCTTGGGGGGGGGGGGGTTAGCACTTTTATGCGCAGTCCTATTTTGGACTCCTTGTCATATGGTACATATTTTTCATCACCTTTAGATCCATTTAATATCTTTTAGGGCACTATTTATTCATTGGTCCCATTTGGACTCGTTCTGGGCACTTCTATTCGTTGTATTTCTACACACGTTTGTGTGAGTGTTGTTGGCACTTGTCATTATTATCACTTTGCATGATTAATTATTATTTTTATTATTTTTCATATTGTTGCTACATATTTTTGTATTCACATTTGTGGGTTTCACATTGTACTAGCGCCACATTATTATTTGTATTATTCATGTTTAGATCATTAGGTACATGATTGGATGTTGGCAGCTGTACCTCATATATTAATTTTTTTATGGACTTAGTTAGGAGCGCAGGAGGTTCTTCACTCTTTTTAGTATTTGGTGTAGAGTTATTCACCCTGAGGTCATCGCAGAGGACAAGGGGGCACTCTTTACGTCTGGAGGAAAAGAAATATAATCTCCAAACACATGGAAAGGTTTCTTCACAGTGAGAGCTGTGAAAATGTGGAATAGACTCCCTCAAGAGTTGGTTCTGGCCAGCTCAATGGATTGCTTTAAAAAAGTCCTGGATTCTTTCTTAGATACACAGAATATAACTGGATACTAACATTTATAGGTAAAGTTGATCCAGGGAATATCCGATTGCCTCTCGGGGGATCAGGAAGGAGCTTTTTTCCCAGCAGGAGCAAATTGGATCATGCTTTGCTGGGGTTTTTTTTGCCTTCCTAAGGATCAATTGTGCGTATAGGATTATAACTTTTTTTTTTTTTTTAATGGTTGAACTGGATGGACTTTTGTCTTTTTTCAGCCAGACTATGTAACCCTGGCATTTGGGAGCATTTGTTTAGAAGTCTTCCACTGTTCTTCTATGTGGGCCCTTTAACTCTTACATGTAACCCAGAGTTCCATCCAGGAGTAACTTTAAATGTCCTTCTTTCTTCCACATCTGCATTTCATCTTTTATTAGTAGAAGTTTTAGGTCCATCTGATGTGGAACTTCTGACACAACTGATTTCCTACTCCAGAATCCAGGCAGGTGGCTACTATATTTTCAAATTCTGGATTTTTATACATTTCTATGAAAACACAAGGTAACCCTCATGGATTCATTTGATGAGTAGGCAACCGGTTCCTCCCTTGCAAATCTTGTCTCTTTTATACAATCAGCACTTAACAGAGGTCTCTCCCACTAAACCTTTCTATTTTGCAAAGTGGGAGCTCGGTGTTTCTTTCATGAAAGAAGAAAGTCAAAAATCCTGCACCCTAACCCACAAACTTTCTATCATGAATGAGGCACAAGAACAAAATTATAAAGTTATTGCAAGATGGTATCCCTGCTCTTATCTCCTACATAAGATATTTCCAACTGTATCTGATTGGTGTTGGCGCTGTTTAACTTTACAATATTTTTGCCCCAGACACAAGACCCACCAAATAGCACTGTTATCACTGCTTCTCAAATCTATTTCTAGAATCAAGAAAGGAATTTTGTCTTTTTTCATAGTGGCTGCTAGGGTAGTTATATCTAGGAATTGGAGATCTCAATTAATACCTTCTATAACACAACAGAACGGATGTCAGAGCTGAATAACCTTATGAGAATGGAAGAACTGTCAGCAAACTACACAATCCACATCCTCAATTTAAGAAAATCTGGTCTCCCTGGGTATATTTTATTGAAAGCATAAATATGTCCACCCTTATGACCTAGAAATGCATCTAAGTATAGTTTTTGGCCCCTAATATGTCTTTTTTTTTTTCCTTCACAGTAATGAACAGCTGGCTGATGAGTCCCACGTTAAGAAAATTTCCACTTTTTCTCTTACAGTATTTCTTTTGTTTTTTTCCCTCTTTATACTCTTTAATTACTTTTTTACATTATATAAGGGACTTTGATATATCTTAGCAAGCATAACTTTTTCAGGTTACGAAATATATAACCTTTTGGATATTGCTTATCTTCATGTCTTTTTTCCCCATTTTGCCTAAATTAGATGTACATCATTTCCACGAAGGGTATCACAGTTTGAACAAACTTTTTTGCTCAGAAAGAACCGGTTATGCTTATTGTATATATATAATTCAAATTGGTAGACCTCTGAGATTGGCACTGGATTAGTAATGCTATGCAGTGAGATGAGTTGAGTTATCTCCCTGCTGCCTATCTGATCTCTTCCTATGCACTGGTTCTTTTTTTTTGTTATTTCTATTGTAGTTAATTAATATAGTTGTATATAACCAAATAAAAATATATTGTTAAAGAAATTATTTTCTTGGGGGACAATAATTGGTGAAAGGATGAGTAATTTGGCTACACAGGGTTATGTTGTTGCCTTCAGAACATTGGGCACTGGCAAATAAAGATGTAAGGACAGCCTAGTATATCCCCTCCCACTCCCATCATGATACAGTTTTGTAGCAAAGCACTAGTAGAAAGTAGTCATAAAATCAGAGGGAGGGATCCATGTCCCTAAAAATACTCCCAAAAAAAAACTAAGTCAGAAATCCTAAAAAAAATTCTTAATCATATATTAAAAGTTAAGCTCACCTTTTTGGGCAGAAATTCACTTTTCATAATAAATATAAGCTTTTCTATAATGTCTTTTCCACCCAAGCCATCCCAATGTGCTTATCTCTCACTTACCTCAACCATGGCAGCTTTTAATTTTCACCGGTATGAAATAATAATAATAAAAAAAAGAAAAAAAAAAAAGCTTTCTGCTGCCATCACTTCCTGTTGGTCATGTGACATTCCAGGAAGTTTCATATCCTATCATGCACTACCTTAGTGTACATTAGAATAGAGTGGGTTTATCTGTATCACACCTACCTCATTACTATACCAATTCTTGTTTTATTTCCACATACAGTATTTACTTCTACCTCTATGGTAACCATACTGTGTACAATCTGATTGTACAATCTCCCTTAGATCTACCATCAGCTATGTAGTGCAAGGGACTGTCTGATTTGATACAAATTTGATAGATTGTTCATGTGGGTCCTCCTATTCGATAATGTTGGTAAATCTAAAGTACAGAGATTGTACACTTCGATTGCATAGTGTTGGTCAGCTTTATACAAGTACACAGGAGGGAGTGGAAGGAGACACTTATCTGCTCACATCTGTAGGTAGCAGGAGCTTGTGGTCACACATGTGTTTTTCACTTGAATAGACTGCTCTATGCATGACAAATGTCCCAAAGATGCTCCACAAATTTTGTTTTTGTAGATTAGAGCGCAGCATGTTTTTTTACCCCTCTTTTTCGTGCATTTCTAGTGTGCTTCCGAACGTGGCAAAGCAGGCATTTCTGTGTGGCTTGCCGTGCATTAAGAATTGTGCAGATGTGTATGAAACCTCATTGTTCTTGTATAAACACTAATTTCACTTTCAGGTCCCATTCAGACCTAGCGTAGTAGGAGAGAACTTTTTTT